ATAAGAGTATCTGCGATACTAGCTGGACCGAAAAAGAGACACCTCCTTCAAAAATACAACAGTAGAAATTTTGGCAGAAAGGGAGTGTTTGAAAAGGATAATTTTGTCATTTAAGGATTTTTTTTTTCTTACTTTTATCCATCTAATGTTGGGTTCCGATGATTTTCCATGCATAAATTTACGGCCAGATTTGTGACGGGGTTGAAAATCGATCATTTTTTTTTTATTTTCCCCAACATCGAAATATCACAAATGAATCAAAGTTTTCGATTCATATAAACGATTTTGATATTGGCGTTCTTGATTTGCTTATACACATGCAAGAACTGTGCATTACAGAAATATCTCTAGGGTTTATATTCGATTATTGTGAGTCGATCCATTCTAAGAAATAATCAAAGAAAACCATCAAAACTACACCTTTAAATGACTGAATTACCCTTCTCAAAACGCTACATTTTGACAAAATTTCGACTATTGGAGCAATGTGCTCGGAATATAAATGTTTGTGAAAATTATATAAATGTTTCGCATGTATGATGAACGTATATCAATTTTGGTAGGCGGTTATTGCTACAATTGCTGTCATCTTCGGGGTGACAAGTATGGACAATTGACTCAACTGCACTCGACCGAGTCACGCGCTGTGAAAAAAGCTACTTTGGTTGTATATTTGTATTGAACGAATCTTCTCTCTCTCTCTCTATACGTTTGATGTGGGTATCGACTGTATATTCAAGGCCCGTGCGGGCCCTGTAATGTTGGAGGTAAATTCAGTATTTTGTTTTCTTTATTGTGTGTTGTGAACCCGGAAACATTATGTACTCGGGTACTTGTGAATTGGGAGAAGTGAAAAAAAAAACCCGAAACCCGTACTTTCATGCATATATAGTATGAAAAATAGTAAATTTTTATTTGATGAGCTTCTATTTTTTCTTCTCAAATTTTAAACCACTCAACACAAAATATCATTCGTTGACCGGCGTTGACCAACATTTGACCGACAATAAGATTACGTAATTTTACTGTCGATCGTGACTATAAAGATTAATTATGTGTTCTTACTATCTATTTTATTTTGATCATAACTTTTGCGCATAAACTCATATTACATTGATTCAAGTTGCATTAGAAAGATGATAACATTTTCTCCGGCTTTCATTTTTTGTGATTTATGAGATTTTATTTTGGTCATGGTAAAAATATATATAGAATCTTATTGTCGATCGAGGACAGTAAGATTATGTATTTTCACCATAATTTTATCATTTCTACTCTAATTGTTGATTCAATTTTTCTTTCCTTGTTTTTGTTTTTGTTAAGCTTAGAAATATACCTATGATATTCAAGTTTTGCAATTTGTGAGATTCAAATTAATTAATTGTTAAAAATCACTACAAAACAAATTATGTGATTTATTTATGGGGAAATAAGCTCGAAGCCCCTAAAATATATTCTTTTACCTTTTTATTAAAAGTCCTTGTGCGCTTTCGTGCTCTGGATCTGAAGTTAGGTCTGAAGTATCTGTAGCACAATTTCTTAGGAAAACTAACAGTAACAACAATACGGTGATTTGCACAGCTTACTTATATTAATAAGTAACAATTTAGTTATATTAATAAGGAACAACTTAGTTAAAATAAATTAAAGAAAAAACTAAAATAAGAATAGATGCATTTCACAACACATACACAACTTGTACAAACAACTTAGAAAACTTATTTATAGAGCCTAGTTACATTAACGAGCAACAATTTGGAAAAAAAAAAATTGCATAACTTAATTACACAACTTAGTTAAAAATAAAAAGAAGAAAAAAACTTAAATCTCTGGCGCGTACATTACCACATACATATCACATCATCATCACCAAACAATTCTTCATATATTTTCATTTTAGTTTCCATGATTATTAGGTTATAGCGGAAATGAATGAGTGTAACCAAAATCGTATATGTGCGTGTGTGTGGTAGCGTATGTATGTATGTAGGTGTGTGAATATGTGTGTATGACTGTTTGTGACTGTGTGGCAAACTTCGATGACGACAGCGACGGAAAGCAGGGGTCGAGCAGATTTGGCGGAGTGTAGCGGGGTTAGACGAAATTTGATAGAGAACAGTTAAGGTAGACGCAATGAAGGTGCATGTAAAGAACAAATGACTTTTAACAAATTGCAAAAAGTACAACAGTCCTAATTTGAAAAACTATTAGCGCTTAGAGATTTTTAGAAAATTACCCTTTGTTTTAATTATAACCTAATCATATATGAACTTCGATTGCACTGATTCAAACTATATAGGAAAACATATATGACAATCCAAAAACCTTTCGTATTTTCGAAATTCATTTTGTATTATGATCTAAAATCAACAGGATTTCTTTTTAACCAAGATATTGGTGTTTTTGACATAAAATACATATAGGTAAAATAAAACAAAATATCTAATTTTTATGGGACAGAAAGTTTAGTTTAGTTCTTCTTTTTTGCCCTCATTTCATGAACGAGAAACTGATTTAATTTAGATATCATTTCCTGAGATATACGAGTTGGACGATAGTTTTCACCAAGGCAAACAACTGTCGATTTTGCCTCCAAAATTGGCTGCATACATAAACATACCAAACATTAATCTATTCAAAGATCATAGTGAAAAAGAGAAGGTCAACATAAATTTGGACAATGCTAAATAGCCAGAATCTGGCCAACCAGAATTGTTATTTTTTTTTATTATTTTATTATTTATATATTTTATACCATTAATACCCTTTCGGTCCGAATTTTCCTCCTAATTTCCCAACCATGTTATTAATATGAAAGTTAGTGGCCTAGAAAATAGGACCAATCCATATGCGCGTACAGTCACAATAAAACAATCAAATCAATATTTACTATTACACGCGTAATTCATACAATACAACCATATTTCGTATATACATATAAAACCTACAAATACTAAGTTGGAATTGTATGCAGACTGAACAATATTTAATAATAATATATAAAACAAACAATAAATTAATATTAATGTACACTAGTATACACTAAGTCGGAATATTATTATTATTATTATTATTATTATTATTATTATTATATCAATTTTAAGTTAAGGGATAGACATCTCTAATCAACTGCGATCTAAATTCTAATATGTAATATCAATAGTTGCATATAATCTATAATTGTATAGAATCGATTGTGATCTATATGCCAAATTTTATCCATCTACGTAATTTAGATATTTATAATTATATATGTCAAATTATTTAAATATGTATGATCAATAATTCAAAAATTATAAATAAATTATATAATTACATAATCTACATACCAGTATAGATTATATTTCAAAGGTGTATTGATTACATATGTTACAATATAATGATATACATGATAAAATATACTAAAATTAATAAATCAAATATTTTTTATTATATGATTTAAATTCAAAGAGATATTTTATTATACTAATATACTAATTATTAAATCAATATTTCATTTATTAATTTTATGGTAATTGCCATTTTTCTTTATTAACGTTATTTGTTTTAACTTTTAAGATAGATTCTCTCTCTTCTATTTCCCCTCGATCCCAATTTACACCTCTTCTTAGAGCATCTTCAATGGAGAGGGGGGTTTTCCCCTCTCCTCCCCCTCCCCCTCCCCCCTCCCTCTACCTACGTCGTTTCCAACCGTTCGGTCTTTTGTTACTTTTTTTTCAATCCCCACTCTCACCACTATAATAATAATAAAATAATAATAACAACCCCAATAATAATAATAATAAGAGTAAAAAGCAGTTTACCCCCTAAACAAATGCCCGTTTTGCACTTTGCCCCCCAAACAAAAAAAATTTACACGTTCTTACCTAAACTCCGGTTTTTGTTGCACGGTGCCTCAAAATTGGAATTTTCAGGCCATTTTGACCGGAATCATACACACGTGCTTTTCACGTGAGTTTTAAAGGGGCAAAATAGTCTATTCACTTACCTTATTCATAAATTAAAAAAAAAAAAAAAAAGCAAAAAACAAAATACAAAAAGAAAAAACAAAAAGA